GTCTACAAGAGCTAGTTCCAGGACAGGCTCCAAAACAACACAGAGAAACCCTGTCTCAAAAACCCCAAAATTAAAAAAAAATATTTCTAGGTGTTATTGTTTTTGGCTCCACAATCTCTCTTTGAGTATGACAGATATGTTGATACAGACAATCAAATTATCTTTAATATGTCTTCATGATATGATTAGAATTAAAAACCAGATATGGATTCTCATTTACTGTCTGAATCCATCCAAAAAGATCCAGAAGAAAAAGTCACACAGAAAAAATATGAAGACTATTCCATAAACAATACGTGTGTGTGTGTGTGTGTGTGTGTGTGTATCATTGTCAATAAAAAATTTAAGAGACACAACACACAGTGGGTTCATTTGGAAAAATATGGTCATAATGTATATCATGTTATAAAATCTATTTATATAGTAATAAAGCTATTCCACGATTATATTTAACCAACTATATAGAAAAACCCATTGGGTCATAAAACACTTCTTTGTATAGCACCCAGTATAGTTAGAATTGTTCTTGACACACTTTGAGAAAAGCTACATCCCTAAAAATCTTCCAAAATCTTAGATCCTATATTCCACTATGATTGCACACACAAAGAGTTGGGTAATCTGTCCAGAAGCCAGGTCTTATTTTCTCTAGCATGTCTTTAGAACACAGAAGTCAGTTAGTTCTGAACAAAAATATACGACCAGTAGAATGTTCTTTGGTAAGAGAAATACCTATTTGCACCTCTTTGATGTAGTGATACAGGTTTTATAAGGGACTATCTGTTCTCCATTTAGTTATATGTATTATTAGACAGCTGGTATTTTGATATAGAATTTTAACTTGAATTCATTTCACATTAAATTGACATGATTATAAAAGTTGCCTTTCATTTTTGTTCAAATTAAAATAAATATCTTTTTCATACGTCATAATCTGAAACTTTGCCCAGTCAAAAATTTCTCAACAGCAGTTAAACAAGATCAGCGTAAAGCCCTGCCAGCAGGCTGGAATGGAGTTCTGCAGGATCAAATGAATTGGACTCAGTTAATAACACACAGATCCTTTCATGTAATCATACAATGGACTCACCTACTTGGCATTAACCTCCTTCAGACCAATGCCTGGTGACCTTTTATAGCATGAACATTCTTCTTTTGATCATAGAAATGGGAAAGGCAAAAAGGCTTAAGTAACTTTGTATTAACTTTATCTGTTGTTCTTGTATCATTAGCCCCAAGCTATGAGCCTGGGCTAGAGATAGATCTAAGCATCATCCTCATAAAAGAGAAGATGGAGTAATGGATTAGTATACACATAAAAACTGCCGATGCTGATGAAATATATTAGGTGACAAATTTATAATTACTTTTGCTGTTTAATGGCCTAACATAGTTCTATATGTCAATTTTGATAAGTTAATTGGTGCTTTGTTTTATTGTAATTCTTTCAGGCAGCTCAAGTTTCCAAAAATCAGCACCATACTTCACTGGGACATTTAATTTGATTTTCAAATAGACTAATTCACAAAATTACACTGAACTCTATGAACAGTGTATTTTAAAGTCAAATAGCTGGGTAGTATATTGCAACTAGCAAGCATTTTCATATTTGAGTCTAATGAGTTTATGAGATAGATATGATAGTATTTAAAACAGACATACACATACTCACTCACACACACACAAATATACACGGTCTTCCTCTTTTCCTGGAATATAATTTCACTTTTTGACATGCTAACTGATTAATCACTGGAAGTCATTAGGTACCTACAAGGTGAACACTGGCTGCTTGAAACACTAAAGTATAGAACATCAAGGCTTTCAGACAATCTTGTAAGACTGAGCTCCCAAAGACAAAATTGAATTAAAATAGAGAGCACTCAGATGGCGTCCATGGAAGAAGCAACTGCTTGTTTAGCATGCAGGAAAAGTCCCCTCCCCATAAACACATAACTGTGTTTACATGAGTGGTTTTTTGTTGTAACTATGAGAGACTCTGAGTTTATTCATTCAATATGCTCTGTAGGGCAAATCAGTACTTTTTAAATGACTCTCAAGACAGTTCAGCCAAAATGAAAATTAATTTTTATTATCTTTAATGTATTTAGCTGATGTTTCAACCTTTATATCTATCATGAATATGGAAATTTCATCTTCTACTTTATTTGTGTATGAATTTTTAACTTTTTTCTGTTTTAGATTTAAATCATTTTACTTACTGTGTGTGAATCTTTTGCCTGTATGTATGTAAATGACCATGTGCATGTCTGGTGTCCTCAGAGGTGAGGCGAGGGCATCAATTACCCTGGACTTGGAGTTACAGATGGTTGTGAGCCACCATATGGGTGCTAAGAGCTGAATCCTGTCCACTGCAAGAGCAGCAAGTGCTCTTAACAACTGAACCATCACCCCAACACCTTCATTTGAATTCTTAAAGAATGAATTGTTTTATAGCTAGGAAAAGTGAATAAAATTTGTAGCTCCTTTTAATTAAATTATCTTCTAAGGGAATATCTGTTCTAGTCCCCCAATCAAGCATTTAAATTAGTTTTTGTGCTACCAAATATAAAGTATCCATATTGCACAGAGAAACAAATGACTGCTAGAAATATAATCAAGAATTCTCTGAACAAGTCTAGCACTAAGTAAAAGAAATGAACTCTTTTACCCCGTATACCAAAGTTAGAAGGAGAGTGCAATCATGAACCTTTTAGAACATAGTATCAATCCACTGGATTTTCAAGTGTAAAATGTTGTAGGTATATTATTACATAGATAAGTGTATTTATACTTATTTATCTATAAAATATTATCTATAAAAATAATTGGCAATGTTGATCATGTATTCACAAAGTTGTTCTCTGAGAAGGAATAGAATCTTTCTTGAGAATGATTAAGTTGTTGGACGTGAAGAAGGATGATCAGGATGGCTTTGTTAGTCACGTGGTGCTTAAGCTCATTTCTTAGTTCTTGACCTTCAAATTGTATTCTTTATACCTAGGAAAGGAAAACAGTGATGTAAGACACCTAAAAATTGGAAGAGCATAATTTCACACATTAATTGTAGCCCAACTACATCAAAATTGACTGCTCCTATTTCTAAGAAACAGAGTGGGAAGATATAGTCAGAATTTTATGGGGACCATACTTACTCTTCATTTCAATTTCTTTTTTACATATAAGGTTACCTGCTGACTGGCAGCAGATACTAATAGTATGTGTGTATGTGTTAAATTCAGATTTCAGTTGGTGTTAACTAGGCTTTACTATTTATATCCAGGCCCTATTAACACAAAGTTTATGCAGAATGATTGAGGTAGTGATCTGATATTATACCTGGTTTCTTGGTACATCACATATTTCTAGTTAGTTTTCATTAATTTCTTTATTATTTTTGGATTTTGAGACAAGGTCTCAGTGTGTAGCCTAGCCTGGACTGGAATTTATTGTTTAGCTCTGATTGACTTCCAACTCATGATAAACCTGTCTCAGCCTTAAAAGAACTGGGATTATAGTCATGTACCACCATGGCCAGCTAATTTACATTGATTTTTGTGGAACAACATCTAAACGAACAAGAATTATCTCTGAAAGCTCTGCAAGTAGCAATAAATATGAAATAACAGCAAATTATTTTAAAGCATTAAAGGTTAATTTTGAGGTGGTTTGTATAGACCTTCCTTCCATAACAATTCAGATTACTTGTAAGGACTGTTGTAACTTGTCATTTTTAATGTGTTCCCCCCCATCACATAGGAGAGTTCTTAGATGACTATGTACTGAACAATTTAAATTTTATTTAACAGTATAATGTAGTTCAACGAAGTTTAGACTCTGATGTGAATCCCTCTATATTCAGATTCCAGCTCCATCTTTAATACGTATTTAACTGTGGGAACTTCTTCAATGTCTCTACATCTGTGCCTCAATTTCTTACCAGTAAATCCTTACAGAGTTATACGAGTGTAGCAATTTATCTAACATTTGTTGAATGTGATCCAGCACACAATGACTAGTAAATTATTAGCTTTTGCTATTTATCAGAGAAAAAGATGGCTACCCAGATGAAAGACATTATCTCATTTCTCTCTGAAATAGTGGTCCCAAGGTCCATATATAAATAAGGAAGACACCCTTTTTGGAAGGAGTCCTCAAGTAGTATTTTACAGTTAAGTTGTGCTGGAGTAACTCGCCAGGCATTACCTGGTTGATAAATATCATTATGATTTGATTCGCAAGTGGTTGTAAATAAGCGCTGAACACATTTAAATCTGTTTGTCTTAGAATGAATCTTAAAGGCTTACAGTTTAACAATCTCCTTTAACAATTGGAGATTAAAGAAACAGTGGAACTCTGTGTTTACTAAGGCCCCAAAAATGTCAGGGCAATTTCCTTTGTAAAAATGCAAACCAATAAAAGAAAAAAGCAAAATACAAAGCATTTTCCTGAGCCATTCCCACCCCACCCCTTTAATTTCTAGGCAGAAATTCTATCATTTGGATATAATTCTGTCAATATCGTTCAAAATACAGACTATGACTGGAGCCAGATAAACAGGTTCACAAATTAGAGAAATTTTTCTTGGCGTTCCCATGGCAATCTGCATTATCCTCATTATCATCACCAGGAGTTTGTGAAGAATGCAAACTTATCTCTGAAAGTTAGTTTGTCCCTAGGCTAATACCCTTTAATTTGGACTGAGATACCAGAACGAGTACTTAGGCTGAAACCACCTTTGCTAAGTTTACAAGCCATGGGAAAGTAGCTTTGTTTTCTCAAACAAGTTTGGACACTGGTGTCTTTGTCTTCAGATTTCCAATCCTACGATCTCCAGCCCTGAACTTCTGTCTCTGCCTTTTATAGACTCCTTTACCTACTGGGAAGCCGGGTTGCTATCTCTGTGGCAAGGCAGGGCCTCTCCTGGCATGCAAACCTGCCAGGTGAATCCGCCCCTCAGGGGCGTGTCAGTACTATTTCCTGGAGCAATCTCCCAGGATGGCTCCACTTTTCATTTGAGCTCAAATCCTGTACTGTCTACTCTGCAGCTGCCAGACCTGCTCCTGCTGCTGCTCAGGTAACTCATCTCTCACTGGCACCACCGGGGATAAAAGGTGGTTGATAAAGGCCCTCTTTGCGTGTCCCTACTTGCCGGCCTGCCCTGTTATCGTTTTTTTCTGTTTATTCCTTAGGGAGAGCACCCGGGGAAACCATTTCTGACCACTGAGAAGATGATGAGCTCAAGCTATTGGAGTGAGAGCAGCAGCGGCAGCTGTGGGACCCAGCAGCCCACAGAGGTACTGCAGTACCAGCCTCAGCATTACCACTGTTACCATCAGTCAAGTCAAGGCCAGCAGCCTCCAGAAAAAAGTGTCGTGTATGAGCGAGTGAGGACCTACAGTGGGCCCATGAACAAGGTGGTGCAGGCCTTGGACCCCCTCGGCTCACGGGAAGTGCTCTCCCCCCTCAAAACTGCCTCCTCCTACCAAAATTTGGTTTGGAGTGACCATTCTCAGGTAATAAAAGATAGCTTTTCCAGGTTATTGGGGGAAAAGAAACACATCTTAAACCTCACTTCCCTTTCCGTTTCATTCGCTGTAGTTTACAGGAGAGCTCTTGGTGGATTGCAGTTAGGATTGTGTTGGACAGTCTCCCAAATTCTGTCTCTTAGCTATATTTTTTCATTTACTAGTGCCTGTGGTTAGTTGGTTGCCATTCCAATGATTTACATAACCTAACCAGAGCATAGGAAGCCACATTTTTAAAATTGAAGTTGATTGAAAGATGTGTTCTAAGTGGCAAACCATTTTGCCTATAACGACAAAAGTAGTCATCAACTTAAATGCAAAAAGGTTTATTTTTAGAACAGTTCCCCACTGATTCGCTTCATATCAGGAGCGAACAGGTGTTTTGTGCCAAGTAGAATGATATAGAGACAATGGCATATATGGAGTGACGTGTAGTTATTTGTGTTCAGCTAATAGTATGCTGATCCTGGCTAAGTGACAGGTACACATGTCTTAGAATTTTCTTATGTGTCAAAATGACACATTGATTCTTATACGTACTAGCTGAATAATTTGTGGAATGTTAGTAGGAAACAGGTTATAGGATTTGAAAAGCAAGAAAAAGGTAAATGAGTATTATATGAAAGCTACAAAAGACAGATCTCTAAGATACTCTTGAAAATGTAATAATTTCTAAGATTTTTATTTGTTTTGCTTTTAACATCAATATCTGTGTTAATAGTCTGGCAAGCACATGAAGAATAATGTGGAAAGACAATATAAAACGACAGATTAATTTCCGCTTTGATTTTATAACTCTATCTTTATATAAAATGTACATATTTTCAGCTTTCTGTGAGCTTCTATCCAAACTAAAATCATATTTACAAAGTATACTATGAAGACCTCATAAAATGATTACCAGGATCTTATCCTACCTTACATTACTATATCAATTGGAAAGAATACAGATTAATTTTTGAAAACACATAAAGTAGAATATGAAGCAATATTATTAAAATGTACAATGAAACAAAAAAAGATTTCCTCAAAGATACAGATTGCTTCCAAATCATAGGCACAACAATTTTACTATTGTTTTATTCAACACTTAGCATAATTTCAGGGGAAAATACATAACAAATCTAGGATTTAATACCAATAATTTTCTTTTTCCTTTTATTGAAGATTTTTTTTTTCATAGAATATGTTCTGTTTAGTGCTCCTCCAAGATCCTCCTATCCAAATTCACACCCTTTCTGTCTGTAGGAAGGAAAAGCCGTCATCTGTATTGAGTTCAGGGGGTAGAAAAATATGAAAGTTAAAAAAATCTCAGGTTGTATAAAGTGACCATAGTGATGCAAACTTACATTCCAATATGCAACATTAGCATGTTAATCAGCAAGAAAGTTGGTGCCATCTTAGCTCCTTAATACCTCCAAAAGGATGAAGGTTGAAAACAACAATTACTATTATCCTAAAATCGCTGAAGTCATCCTACTTTTCAGTTATTTCAGCCCTCAGCCTTTTTTTACATGCTAGTAAAAGAATAATAGATACACACTTAAGAGCAAAATATAAAAAAAAATAAATATTGAATATAGGACAATTTTGAGAATTGTGTTTTATTGTTTGTTCCTTGTTTCAACTTTCCTTTTTAATACTAATGTCAGGTCTAAACTAAAATGGTTAAGCTTTTTATAAAATTTTCCATCTTTTATATGGAATTTGCCAAATTAATCCCTCTAAGACTATTTCCATCCTGAAACTTAGTTCTTTGTAGAAAAAAAAATAGCACAGACCCTTAGGGGCAGAAAGTGTAACCTTAGTAGCTGAGATAAGAGACAGGAAAGGATTTCACTGTGATATCTGAGTTATTAATCACTAAAGAGAAATAAAAGTATGAGTGAGTGATGAGGAAGGAGATGAGATTCAAGCTATGTGATAGAGAGGAAGAAGATTCCCTTGTTAGAAAAGAGAAATTTGACTATAAAATTTCAAATTGACTTGGATATGAAGGCCAATAAAAGGGACTACAACAAACCAGCTTTTTAAGATAGTCACCACAATTTTAATGATCAGGAAGCCCTTCTATTTAGTTCTCCTGTCTTCCTGTTTGTTGGTGGGATGAGATTGTGGCATTATGTAAAGTTGTCCTAGATGTGATCTGAAATTACTTTCGTGCTGACAAAATGTCTACGCTCTAATGGTAACTCTATTATATTCCATCTAGGCACTGGGAAGTAAATATTATTCAAAACTCCTTTTACGGTTTTAATAAAATTTCTCTTTGAGATGCCGCATTTCAGATGAGTTGATATGTGGCAATTATGCAATGTCAGTCAAAGTGAAGCCAAGACAATGATGATTAACATTTAATTTCTGGCCACGATGAATTCAATTAAGCTTTTGCTTTGTCTTGGTGAATATATGATATTTAGAGAACTCAGATTTTAAAATAGTTTTTCAGTAGTAAAAGGTTTACTTTGAGAAACAATTTATGCCACATTGCTTTGTTTCATGAATTTTAATCTTAATTTTATACTTAACTAAATGTCATTTACAACTATTTAGTGTTTTCTATCCCTGGTGTTTTAGAACATATTTAGTTATTTCTTTTTTTTAAACTACTGTGCTCTAGTGTACTAAAAATACGTTTATGGATATAAACACTTATATTTCTGTCTATATGATACATAATATTGCTTTTATTTCTTATCTATAATTGATGAGACATACTTCTGGCTCTCTTGGTTATTATTTTGTCTGATTAATAGGGTATTTCTCAAATAAAATTAAGTGTAGATACCAGTTGCTACTAAGTTATCTGAATTAATAGTAGAATTTAAATTATTAGGTTTGCCCTCAGGAACAAAAATAATCATACAAAGTCAGAAACACTTTTAAGCCCAATGTGGTCTTAGAAATAAATGAATAATGTTCTAAAAGCCACTTAAAGCCAAAGAAAACAATAACAACAAAACCCTCTAGAATTCAATCCTTTACGCTTAAATATTAAACCACCAAAATTAACTCAAAATGGCATACTGTCTTAAATGAACAACACTGATGTGAATTATTCATCGGACTTATATTTTTTTTCCTTTGGCTAATTTAAGTATTCATGAAGGTCAAGATATTTTCCATGAATACTGAGAAACTGTTTTGAGAAAGAAAATGGATCAAAATTAAATATTTTAAATTCCAGTCATTCAGTGAACAGATGCTTCTTAAGTGCCCATTTTACAGAAAATTGTGTGATCTGAATAAATACCATTTGCTTGTCACAGGAAAGTCCGCTTTGGGGGCAAACACACAGAGTCTGGGCTGTAGGTGGCACATGCCGATGTACATTTTAAAATATTTGTTGGCCAGCTGGCCTAGGTCTGAAAAAACATGGGATAAATCCGGACTAGCTGAACATAGCGGACAATGAGGAATACTGAGAATTCAAGAACAATTGCAGTGGGTTTTTGATCCTACTGCACGTACTGGCTTTGTGGGAGCCTAGGCAGTTTGGATGCTCACCTTACGAGACCTGGATAGAGGTGGGCAGTCCTTGGGCTTCCCACAGGTCAGGGAACCCTGATTGCTCTTCGAGCAGATGAGGGAGGGGGAATTGATCGGGGGAGGGGGAGGGAAATGGGAAGCGGTTGTGGAGACGAGGCAGAAATCCTTAATAAATAAATAAATTTAAAAAAATAAAAAAAAAAAAAAAAAATAAATAAAATATTTGTTTATATGTTGCCACGAGGATTTTATTAAATAAAATATTTGGTTTTAACGTATGAGCTAATTTGCCATTCTTTTTTATTTAAAAACTTGTAACACAAAGAATCTGGCCTCAGAGAGCAGCCTAGAGGTAAATGTGAATTTGGAAATGACTTTCGCTGCCAGTTCACCTGGGCAGAGGTCTGTATGTGTTACTATTTTCCTTCGTCTCTGTTTGCAAAGACTGTGAATGACTTCCCTACTGTGTTAAAATTTCTATTTCCTACCAGAAATTTTTTCTGCTCTGGGTGGAGGGGTGTGTGGCTTTGAGAAATTGTTGTTCAAGGGTGTGGTCAGTAAAGAGAATGATTGTTCAGGGAAGTAGGTTGCCTGAATAATAACGAATGAGGTCATGGGATAAAGGGGCTGGTGTTTTCAGAGTTGGTCATCCCCTTTATGCTCACAATTAAATGAAGCTTTAGAATTTGTTAGTGCAAGTAATTGCTGGGTGAAAATGTTCATGGCAATTGTCTCTTGTTAAAGCAGGTCTGATAAATTTCGGGGCCAGCTTTCAGACAGTGACATTTACAAGCTGTCCTGGGGCCGTGGTAATGGGCAGGGAATGTAGCCAGTGGAAGAAGAGCAAAGCATTTTATCAACTGATCTTTCTTCGCAATTTATGGTGAAACTACTGGGAGATTTGTCATGCTCTTAAGCTTCGTATAAAAGCTAAAGAGTTTCTAAATAAGCACATTGAAATGGACTCTTTGCATCAGAAGCTATCCCAGTAGAATGTCTTCTTTACATTTGTGGGAGCATATATCCTAGTAATAGCTAAAGACAGATAGCATGCACTGAAAAGAACTATATATTCTGTTTTTGTTCCCTTTCATTTAAAAAGACCGAGAGAATAAGAATCAGGAATAACTATCGTAAGTGAGGAATTTGGGCTTGAAAGAAGAAAAAAGTGGAGCTACTTTTTCTTTGCTTTACATACAACACAATCATAGACTTTTATTCTAAGTAAATGAAGTGTTTGTCTCATCGGGACGGGAAAAGAGGTGCTTATAATTTACATGTTTCTTGTATAAAACATTGAATAACATCTCAACAATAACCTAAGGCAGGTGTTTGACGATGTTACTGACTTTGAAAGGTTCTAACAAAAGCATTCTTCACACTATTCAGGAACATTATTCAAATGCCAGTGTGCCTTGGGAAATTCTGTCAGGATAAATGTCAGGTAGATTTAAATATATTATGGTTTCAGATTCTGTGTTTTTATGGGTTGTGGGTTT